CCCCCCCCCCCCCCCCCCCCCGGGCTCCCCGGAAAATTTTGGGGGCCAGAAAGGAGCTCCTTTTGACCTAGGAACATCCCCCAAGTTTCAAATATTTGCCTCAATTAGGTAAACATTTCGAGGGGATGGAAAGGACTTATGGATTACCCTGTATATCGCGTGAATTTCGCCATATATATCGTGAAGTCGATTTCCTATATATTAACACATTTCTTATATATTGCACGATTTTCGCCATATATTTTGGAGTCGATTTCCTATATATTGATACATCTCTTATATATTGCGACAGTTTCGTATATATATTTCTAAATTTCCTGTATATCATGAATATTTCATATATTATATCATTATTGCCAACATTCGTATATTTAATTACAAACGGCCCTGCATATTGGACGGATCGATTCTCAGTCCTCAGTCCGAGAATCGTCATTACTTCTTTTGAAACTGGATAGCACGTACGAATAAACTTGCTCTCGCTGCTGGGGATAACAATTCGTTTATCCGTTTCGTTTATTCGTTTATTCGTTATCGTATTTATTATTATTTAATTTATCGTATATTATTCGTTAATGGGGAGGGTATGTTTTGACTTTGGATTCTAAATCTACGGTAAAAAGTAAGAACACTTTGTTCTTTGCACTTTTTCCCTAAACCTCCATTTTTTGGGGTTATGGGGCATTTTCGGGCAATTTTCAATTCGACGCTGTAAGCCGCCAAATCATCCAAATTTCAAAATATAAAAATCTCCTGAGAGGAGAGGTCAATACCTTTTTATTGATGTGCAACATGACCCCTGTTGCTCCAAAACTTTGGGGCCGCGATCCCCCAAAAATTGTGGGGCTTTGGAGGGCCGTAAGTCGAAAATGTCAAAAGGCAAGGGTATGTTTTGACTTCAGATTTGGATTCTACGCGAAAAGTTACGTAGAATTGATATGGCGCATGGCCTGTTTGCTCAAATTTTTTACCCCTTATTTTGTCCAAAAATACATGGCTTCTTATGGGGAAATGGGGTTCTTCAGTAATTTGGAGGAAACAGGCCATGTGCCATATCAATTCTACGTAATTTTTCGCGTAGAATCCATATCTGAAGTCAAAACATACCCTTGCCTTTTGACATTTTCGACTTACGGCCCTCCAAAGCCCCAAAATTTTTGGGGGGTTGTGGCCCCCAAAATTTTGGAGCAACAGGGGTCATAAGGCACATCAATAAAAAGGCATTGACCGCTCCTCTCAGGAGATTTTTATATTTTGAAATTTGGATGATTTGGCGGCTTACAGCGTCGAATTGAAAATTGCCCCAAAAATGCCCCATAACTCCAAAAAATGGGGGTTTAGGGAATAAGTGCAAAGAACAAAATGTTCTTATTTTTTACCGTAGATTCTGAATCCAAAGTCAAAACATACCCTCCCCACTTGAAAATTGCGACAATTGATTTGGGGGGGGGGCATTTTGGGGGGCTGAAAATATTTTCATCCGATTCTTTGGGGTCGATTCACCCTATGAAAGTTTTTGTCCCGAAGCTCAATTCTCCGCCGTTTTCGAGAAAAAGATAGTGGACGGGTGGTCTGGAATTCTGGATCACCCTGTATAGAAACTGTAGTTTGGTGGTGGCCTACGAAAAAACGTAACACATTGCGGATCGGTCGTTCGAGAGGTGGGCGGGGTTCCCATTGGATTGAAATGCAAAATTGAAAGATCGGAAATTTTTGTGAGTCATATCATGAAATTTCGCGAAGCTGTGAAAAATATAAGTATCATCTCTCATATTTTCAAGGGCTGAGCATGGAAAGTAACACGGAAACACATTAGAAAGCAAAACCCCCATTTTTTGCCGTCTAATTTCGAACCTTATTTTTCAGTGTAAAATATCACATACGCACGAAATATTAAAAAAAATCGGCGCTGACTTCTGCTCGAGATTTTTTTCATATCAACTCGGGACTCCTCCGACGCGATCTGCACTTAAAGCTACAATTTGAAGGGATATTCAGTAAAAAATAATTAAAAAAAAGAAATAAAATAAAAAAATTTTTTTTTAAAAAAAAATCTGGACATCTAGTCGGTGCCGACTTTCTTTGTTTTCCGTGGTGCCTATTCGACTCTAAAAACACGACATATCCTCGATAGAAAGGTCCGGCTGCACTGCTAATAATTGAAATTTTTAATTGTATGATGTTTTAAAAAAATCCCTTTTTTGAACGTAGATTACTTTAATGTGAGGGTGTGACAAGTCCCACAAGCCGAGGGTCATATATTCATGGATTTCCACCACTTTAGGTTTAGGTCCTGTTGTAGTAGGGCCTTGTTTCGGCGCGGCGCGGCGGCGCAACTGTTGCGGGAATTTGGCGTAACTGTTGACGGAAGGAGGTGTTCCAGGAATGTTTCACTGATAAGTGAAAAGTGAAACTTTCAAGATGAGAGGCCGTTGAACATGTTTTTGGAAGTATTTCAGTATTTGGTCGTTTTGACTTTTTTAGCACGAACAAATTTTGTTTCCTCGGAGTTATGCAGGCCTATATAAATTATAGATTTATTATTTATTCAAAAATTCACTTATCCGATATTATGTTGCCCAGATGGCAGATCGGGCTTTGGATTCTTAGAATCAATGTGCGCCGCTTACGGAATTTACTTAAGAGCTCTGTAGCGGGTGGTAGCGGCGCGGGGTTGCTCTGTGATTTGGTGGCCCTGAAAAGGGCCGTTTTAAAGGGATGCACGAACGGTGAAAGCGCTTAAGCACGTTCTCCACGGATGCGGCGGGCCAGTTGAATGTCCTTTGGCATGATGGTGACACGCTTGGCGTGAATGGCGCACAAGTTGGTGTCCTCGAAGAGACCTACGAGGTAAGCTTCGCTGGCCTCTTGAAGGGCGAGGACGGCTGAGCTCTGGAATCGGAGGTCAGTTTTGAAGTCCTGAGCGATTTCACGGACAAGACGCTGGAAGGGCAGCTTGCGGATCAGGAGCTCCGTGCTCTTCTGGTAACGACGGATTTCACGGAGAGCAACAGTTCCGGGCCTGTAACGGTGAGGCTTCTTGACTCCTCCGGTGGCGGGAGCGCTCTTTCGGGCGGCTTTGGTGGCCAGTTGTTTGCGAGGGGCCTTGCCTCCAGTGGACTTACGAGCGGTTTGCTTGGTACGTGCCATGGTTCACGGTGCGAGTGCGAGCGAAGACTCAGACTGAATCAACGGAATGATGGCGCATGGAGGGTGCTCCGAGTATTTATAGTAGAACTTCCCGCCAATTCCGCTCCCCAGTCGAACAGTGGCCAATGGGAGCCTTTCGCAGTGGCGCTCGATTTGAAAACCGGTAATGCTGCGAGCGGCATAGGGTTTCAAGTACGTCGCAGGCGAACAGTATGTAAGTAAAATCGCACAAACAGTAATAAAATCGTAAATAAAGTAATACTAACTCGACAAAATGCCTGTTGCCTAGGCCGATAGTCGAATGTTCTTACGTAGCTTGAAATTCTGATTATTTCCGTACTGTGAAAAATATTCGAAATAATTGATTCCTCCTGCAAGTAAGAATTCTCAGTGAAAATGTACATCACCCAATGGTAATTATAACGATGTTCAGCCTCTGAACGAACATTCGTCTGGAA